AGCTTTGATCAATTTTTTGTCATTGCAGGATACTGATTGGGCCATACCCCAGTGGCAACCCTTCCGGCTTCATATTTTGGATCGTTTGTGCTCCTTGCTTCGGCACCCTGACAAGGCCGTTATGCCCGCCTTATTTGAAGGAGTTCCCTCCGGCTTCCATCACAACATTCCTCACAGTACAATTTTCCCAGCCCGTGACACCACCATTGTTGCCGATACCAATCTTTCAGTGCACTTTTCCAATTGGAGCAATGCGGAAGCCAATGCTGACTTGGTGAGCGATCTCATTCAGCAGGAGATGGCAGAAGGATGGGTCTACCGCTTTGACGGTGACTTAACACAAGCTCAGCAATGTTTCCCCGCAGGGGTTGCCATTGGTAAGCTTAATGTGGTTACGGCCCCAGGCCGCAAACCAAGATTGATTTTGGACAGCACCATTTGTGGAACCAACCAGCGGTGCCTTATCCCAGATCGATGCACAGTCCCTTCACCCAAAGACGTGCTAAGAGTGTTCCCACTGCGTGAAAATGCTGAAGAACTTTGGGGTTTCTCGCTCGATATACAAGCCGCCCACAAAAGAATTAGGTTGCTACCGGCAGAACAGGGACTGTTCGGTTTTCGTCATCAAGGACATTTGTATTTCTATCGGGTCACTCCGTTCGGAGCGACGCCGTCTGCACATTGGTGGGCGCGCGCAGGTGCTCTGCTGCTTCGCATTTTCCAAGACCTGGTTTTTTGGAAGCATGCCAGTTTGCTCTACGTGGACGATTTCTTATTCATGATGTGCAAGCGCGTTTTGCCGCTGTCAGCAACCATGATTGTGATATTGGCGCTTCTTTTGGGTTGTCCGATCAGTTGGCCAAAATGTGAGCTGGGACCGCAAGTTATTTGGGTTGGGTGGTCTTTTCATTTTAGCTCAGGCTACGTAGCGCTGACTGAGGAAAAACGATTGAAGCTACTTGAGCAGATCGCGTCTTTGCTGACGCATCGGCATGTTTCTCGCAAGGCTCTAGAGCAGTTTATCGGCCTCTTTTTGTGGGTTACCAACTTGTTCCCTCTGATGCGTCCGTGGGTCTACTTTCTGTACAAGGATTTGCATAGCCCAATTGCAACCCAATACAGTTTGAACCCTGATCAATGGTTGCGCTTTTGCTCCATCATCAACGACGACCTGACCATATCTGAAACTTTGCCCGGCACGAGCTTCCGAGTTGGGTCGCGTGTCTTAAGCGTAAGACACAAGCAGTTGAGGCGCAAGGCTGATTTGAGAGACGTGCGCATCACTGATAAGAGAATTTGGGTGAGGGTTTCAGACCCTACTAGTAGCAGGCGTAAACTGCATGAAGACTCTATTCACGCATTGCAGATGTGGAGAACATGGGCGTCCAGCATGCCACCAGTCCTTTCCTTGTATCCACCACGTTGGTGGAGCATCACTGCAGCAGCAGATGCTTGTGCAAAAGGCAATGATATTGGAGTCGGAGGATTCCTTCAAGACGCCAATGGCAAAGTTCTGTGGTTTTCGGAACTTTTCCACCCTGAAGATTTCACAGTTCTGGGAATCAGTATGAGCTCGGATGCCCAAAAGGACATTTCTTCTTATGAAACCTTTGCGCAAATGGGACTCTTGCACGTGGCAGCAAGCAAGGCGCCCAATTGCAGATTGTGCTGTGTACTTCCCACTGTTACAGACAACACATCAGTCGAGGCTGGCGTGAACAAATTTTTCAGCTCAAAGTATCCTTTGTGCCGATTTCTGCAACAGCTTTGCTTGATGGCAACGCGCAGTGCTATCAGACTGGACACGACGCACATTCCTGGGGAACACAATATTGAGGCAGACGCGCTGAGTCGTTTACATGAAAACTTTCCAAAGCCAGAGCGCATGCAAGATCCCAACAGAGTCCGTTTCACCTTGCAAGACCTTTGGCAGGTTTGCCCAACTTGCAAAGTGTTGCCCAAAGGCACACGGTTGGGTTGGGATTTGCCATCCTCACAACTTCAGGGGGTATGTAGGAGCGAGGATGTTTTGCCGGGGCCTTTGGGGGGGGCTGATGGTTTGCTTGCCTGGTCTGTTTATGATGTGACACAAGGCCTCGCATTCCCGGCAAAACATCTGAGTGCGGTCGTGAGAGCTTCCTGCCCCCGATAAGTCTCTGGGTACAAAACGCTGCATGTACTTGTTCATGTGTGTTTTTACCCATGATGATCTTTTCGTGCGACATTCTGGTGCTCGATGCTTAGCGGGGTGCAGGGGTGCATTCACATCCTCGAACATAGTGTTCGGGGTGTGTCTGATTTGTTCCCTTCCCTCCCACCCATGTTTGCACTATTGAGGCACGATTTTCCATCGGTCAGTAATTCATGCCTTGCTCGCTCACAGCTGAGCTGTTATCGCTCCGTTGGGGGGCTGAGGGGGGGGCTGATGGTTTGCTTGCCTGGTCTGTTTATGATGTGACACAAGGCCTCGCATTCCCGGCAAAACATCTGAGTGCGGTCGTGAGAGCTTCCTGCCCCCGATAAGTCTCTGGGTACAAAACGAATAAATCCAGAAACACCGAATACTGGACTGCTTAACAAGCATGACTTGGTTAATGTGTTCGGGGCCCGGGGCCCAACCTTGTCGAACTGGAACGCCTGTTTGTTTTTGTTTTGGTGGCTGCCTAGATGTTCATCGCCGCGGGTTTTCCCATGAAACCCATTCACACCGGATCTGGCCCACACCCCCTTTTGAGATCGCCGGCTGCGCAGTGTAACGGTTGGGCGTTCATGCGTATTTCGCACGCCCGGTTGCGCTGTGCAATGTTGTCTAGGCGCTCGGGCGTAACTTGTACGCGGTTGCGCTGTGTAATCTTGCCCGGACATTCAGGCATATTTTGCGCGCGCTTGCGCTGTGCAATTGCCAGACATACTTTGCGCACGGTTGCGCCGTGCAATGTTGTTTGCGCGCTCAGGCGTTTTTTGCACGCCTCTTTGCTCTGGGTGATGTTGTCTGGGCGCTGAGGCGTATTTCGCGCGCCCAGTTGCGCTGCGTAATATCGGGCATTCAACCATATTTCGATCGTCCGGTTGCGCTGTGTAGCGTTGTCCCTAGCGTCCAGCGCCGGTCGTGTTGTGTAATGTTGTCTAGGCGCCAGGCGTGTTTCGCAGTTCCGGTAGCGCTGCGCGATGTTGTTTAGGCGTTCGGGCATTTTTGCCGGTTGCGCTGCGCAATGCTGTGTGGGCATTCAGGCATGTTTTGCGCACCCGGTTATGCTGTATGTTGTGTTGCGGGCATGTAGGCATTTTTCGCACGGCAGGAAAAGAACGAGGCGCAAGTGTGAGATTATCTGTGGAGAGAGAGAAAGAGAGGGATGAGGCACAAGCGCAAGATGTTCCGTGGCGAAACAGCTGAGGCACAAGTTTCAGGCGCAAGCGCGAACTTCTCCATCGAGAACATGAGGAAACAGTGTGGAACATTTCAGGCGAAATATCAGCTTTGAAACTGAAGCCAAGAACATTCACACAACCAACGCCACTGGCCAGCTTGCTTGAGTGCAATCTGACCAAGTGATGCTTTTTGCACGTCTGGGATGATAGGTGCAACTTGTTCTTTGCCAAGACTGCCAGGCAGGCTATGTCCTCTTCACTTGGCACCAAGGGCGCCATGGGCACTCATTTCATTATTGAGCAGGCCAGCTTTCAATCACACACACAGCAAGATTCTTAACAAACCAAATCACAAATCCGCCGAGCAGCCTGCAAAAGCACTGTTCCCCAGCGCTGCCAAGGATTACCAAGGTCCACCCTGGTATACTGTTGAGCCCCTTGAAACTTGCGCGCAGGCAGAATTCGTGCAAAGGCATGGAGCATGTGCTTGCTGGTAATATAAAGGTCCAAAAGACCCACTTTTGTCAGCCACTCTTTCTCCAATCTAGGAAGCAGCTCGCTGACTATGTGATTTGACTTGCATTTCTTCGCAAACACTGTAAATGAGACCAGGTCTTGAAGCCAAACGCCATCCTGCCCCCAGCCACTCACGCTCTTAGCGTGGCCTCTCGCACTCACTGGAAAGGGAGCTTACACTGATTCTGTGGAAAGCGGACGCCTTGCGCGCAGACGCGTGCGGCGTCGCTTGCGGTTGTTGGTCGGTTGGCTGAGTCCGTTGGGCTGACTTCGCCGTGTTGCTGCGGGATGGGGGCGCCCACATTCTGGCCTTGGCGCACCAGCGCAACTCAACAATCATCTTTTACCAGAAGTGCTCAGACAATCCAACGCGGCGCGTTAGACACTTTTTTGCCCGCACGGCGTACGCAGCCAGGCCAACAAATCGCAGCGTTCTCGCCAAATCGCGATCGAAGCCTCGCCAAACCGAGGCTGAACCCCCGCCGAAGCGCATCATTTTTAACACGGCGTCAGACGGCGTCGTGTGTACAAACGACGCTCAGCCGACACCATTGTGTGCTCTAAGCGCCCTCGAGACATAACGACCTGGCGTGAGCTTCACCGCCAGTAACGTGGCCGAGCTTGAGGGGTCGATTGAGTGGGTTCGCCCAAGGCAAGCCGCCTGGCAAAGGCGCAACTCCACTGCCCAAAAGCCCACCCCCGCCCAGCGCATGTTGCACGCAGAGAGCAGATGCGACATCGCGCGAGCTGTGAGGGTGGCAGCAGCGTGAGCCCGGCGATGAGCAAGCTGCGCAACCCAAGGGTGGGTTGACCGAAGCGGCAGGGTCTACTCGGTCGTATTTTTTAGCCGGTAGGCGCGTCCATGAATGCAGCGCTGGAGAGTTCGCAGCACGCGCAAGGGTGGTCGCCGTAGTGGCCACGCACAAATGGCCAATGGCCTGTTGTTTTTTTCAATCGCCTTTTTCGCGAAAGAGAGGGGTGTTGATACAAAAGCGGCAGTGTGGCTGGACAAGATGGGCTCAGCTGCTGGAAAGAGAACCCAAGCGCGACTGATCCATAAGCCGATATCCAACGCAAAAACACAACCGGCCGCCCTCAGTTCCTTTGTGGCGCAGGATTGGAAGAAGGGCGTGGAAATCACTGAAGAGAAGCTGAAGGAGGCGTGGGAGCGAGTTGCGCAGGAAAGGTGGGGTTTCCTGGAAACGGGGTGGCAAGAAAAGCAGAAAATCGCGACTCGACACCAAAAACAGCGGACAGTGTGGCTGGGCGCAGCAAGAAACTTGTCAAAATACTCTTGGCAAATAGGAAAGCCAATTGCGAGTCGGCCGCGGGTCCGCGGTGAGGTGATCCAGCTCCCCCCCATTACGCTGGACAATTGCCATGAGCGCGAGGACGGGGATTTGCAGCGCTGTCCTGAGACATGATGCCCGGCGCAGTCGGGACGAGCTCTTGCACTGCCGCAGAGTTTAACCATCTCTTGTAGCCTGCGCCAAAAAGCGAGGTGGGACGAAATCACCTTTGAGGAGGAGGTGAATGGCAAGTATTGGCCCCTTGTCGGCGAACATGGCGCTCTGAATAGGACTAAGAGACTGCGCAGCCAAGTTGCTGGCAGATTTTTGAATGTTCGCCATGCTGGAGCCTCGCTTGGGGCTGGCTGCTAGGGGCGGTCATGGAACCCTTAGAACAATCATTGTACGACCTTGTGGTAAGGGATCCATCATCACCGAGACAAGGAGTTTATGTGTGGCACACATGAATCTCAACACAGCTGTCTTTGAGATGGCTTAAAAGAAGCCAACTGTGCCCCGACAACCGAGAGATGAAGGCTTGTAGGCTGATTTGTGCTGCTTGAAATCTTTCCGCCCTTTGCTTCTTTACCATGGGCTTTGGGTAGACCCCTTCAATTCAAGATCTAGAGAACGACTCACCCCTGTCCCTGAATGGAATGTTTGCGGCTGGGTTTGCCTTTGAATGAAGCAACTTCAAAACGGCGCTATCCTTTGGTTCCCCCAAAAAAACCCAAGAAGCTACCCGTATGGGAAACCACTGGATTTGAGAACTTGTAGAAAGACGAACGCCACGATTCCCTTACCTTAGGCGAGAACAGAAGAAGGAATTACGCACGATTTGGAATAGAAGCAGATTATGACAACTTACAAACACGCTTCTTGTCTCCATTTATCATTCACTCCAGGCACGCGGTGATCATGGCCCTGCACCGTATTCGTGAGGACTTTGTGAAGAAGCAGTGGCGTGGCGCAGCGAGTGCCAAGTCAGTCGCGGGAAGGGCTTGAAGCCTAGGCGGAAGATGAAGCACCTGGATTGGTACATGACGATGAAGAAGACCAGCGACAAGCGCAATGCAAAGTACTACGCCGCTTTGAAACGAAAGATACGATTGCTGGGGATAGACACGACTTTGGTGTTGAGGTTTGAAGAGCGGTGACCTCATGACCATGCAAGGCGGGAGAGCTGAGTGCCAAATCAGGTGAATGTCAGGCATGAGTCATGTTGGGTCACGCTACACACACATGTATATTCACATATATATATATATATATATGCATGTACATACATCGAAATGTAGCAGGCAATTCCCTCACAAAATGGTTGGCGATCAATCCCAAACTGAATTATGTCCACCAAAGATCAACAGGTCCCAACTAAGAGTAAAGGGCGCGTAATTGCCTGACGCAGCAGGGCCGATACCCGGATCCTCCAGATTTTCGCGTGGAGGTTCTCAGACTTCGCGCGGATGCTATGAATCTTCCAGGCAGTAGTGCTCGGCAACCACGGCCTGTTGCGCGCAGAAAAGGGCCGCTGCGCTTCGGCATAACGCTTGGTTTGCTGGACAGGCACCGTTGTCTTTTAACTACTTGACTTGAGAAAGGGTATCCAGCCACTCATTCAGTTCTGAGTGTTCGTCCACCTAGACGTTGCAAGTCATGGGAGTGTCAAACTGTCTAAGGACACATAAAGATGGTAGGCTCGGCGCGAAGCAGTGATGACCCGGGCCTAGGAATTTTCAGAGATAGACTTTGGAGACGTTGCGGTGTGTTTTGAGTTTCAGAGGTTTGTGTTTTTTGTGCTTTGCAAACTTCAGAAGCCATACTAACAAAGCCCATGCCGGAGAATGGCGGTGTTTCTTCGCATGGTGACCCACTATTTTAGAGAGTCTGAGCTTTTGACCATCTCTTCGGTCGCCCAGAGGAGCGACAGCAGTTTCACATCCATTTCGTCGGGGTGCCAGACATGAGCTGGAATCAAGACCGAACGGGTAGACAAGAGTTGGAATTGCGGAGATTCTTTGCCATGTGTTTTGATTTGGTAGACCCCTTTATATGATACCGTGACCCAAGGGTCCGCGGCCATCATTGCCTTTGGTTGGTTTTTCACAGGGAAGGAGTGCGACGTGATGTACGTTGGAAACAGGTTTTCAACAGTGGCAGCTTGAAAACAAAGGCCAGAGCATTGCGGGGTGCAGAATATCAACAATACTCAAAATAACCAGCAAGACCTCGCAAGGGTCACAGACTGTTCTCATGCGCCCGGCGCATGCGGTTCGGTGGAAAGATGATTAGGTTTTACAAGGTGTTGACAAGTGGAACACAAACAAACCTAAGCTGAAATCCAGGAAAGGGCCGAATGATTTCGAGACGTGCGTCAAGCGAGTCAAGCAGTTGCATACGGCCGTGGAAGAACGCACGACGCACTTTGCGTGGGAAGATCGGGCGCGTGGAAGTTTCTCAGGCTACTTCCCTGAACCTTTGCCCCCCAGCAAGTTTGCCGACCCTTTTCCAGCAATTCATTTGGGGGACACGTCGCTAGCCCAACCTCACGCAGGTAACTAGAGATGCAACCAAAAAGTTCAGTCAGAAAACACATGCGACAAGCCAAAAACATCGCGTGTTTACAACCCGTCGGTTGTCCGCAAGTGAACCTTGAAGGCGAGCAACGCAAAGCTTACCTCACGCATGTTTCAATGAACCGCCCGTGGGGTCAAGGTTGAACACCTACAGCCAAAAACCCTGTCGCCGGCAAAGCCCTGGGCCAGAAATGGGAAGAGTGTGTTGCCCTTCTCCACCTGCGCAAGGCCCGCGCGGGCGTATAAACGCCGAGGCCCTAACCCTCTCACGGCGAAGCAACAGCCTTGTTGTAGCGCGTGCCAGCCCAACGCGAGGACAGCGCTGTGAAGGCATGCTTCTTGGGAGTTGCTTTGAGCGATGGGCAATGATCGATGGCGGAAAGCGAATCTGTTGGGGGGGCCGGGGCGGGCGAGTCGAAAGAAAAGTCTGATTCGCAGAGCTGTTTTGTTTTTGTTGCTGAAAAACACGTGCGCCCATTATCGAGTTTTTGCTGATTGGTGTGGATTTCTGATTCTCGCAGCTGCGCTCTTTAGCAGCTGCGTTCATGAGTTGCTGGTGGCGTTGTGTTGGAAGCCATTCGTGCGCTGCCTTGCAAGCCTTCTTCGTCCACCAGTGTCCCGTCACCATGGCCAGCTGCCAGCGCACAAGCAGCCAATCTGTCTGCAGCAACACCTTGCTCAATGTAGCTGACCAGTACTCAGATAGATACAAGCTATGTTGCCAACTCTTAAGAGACATCTTTGAACATGAAAGCGCAAGGCTGTCCAGAAACCATTTTGGGCCATTGTCTGCGTTATTCCCCGAACCACGTCGCTCAAGCGAGCGCTTGTTTGCAAAGTCGTCCCCCACCGCTGCATACTCAGAATCATTGTTTTTCGGGCCAGTAACGCAGCTACGCAGCTAAGCCGGCAGCGCTTTCGACTCTGCTTGATTCCGCTCCCAAGCGCCGCTGTGTGACCATGGCGCGTGGCTACCATAGTTGCGGATGTTGGTTGCGTTTAGGAGAGCATTTTCTTGAGTCTATCTGCAGAATCCCCGAAACGAAAGTTTGGTCACGGCATGGATACACTTTGGTTACGGAAGGGCCCGCGTCTTGATTGCGGAATGCCTCCAAACTTTGGTTACGGAATTGTTACACTTTCGTGACGGAAGGGTCCCGTGTCGACTGCGGAACGCCTCCAAACTTTCGTCACGCAATGGTCGTACTGAAGCGTCCCGTGTCGATTGCGGAACGCCTCCGAACTTTGGCTACGGAGTGGTAGTTGGAAATTGAAGTTCCCATGTCGATTGCGGCATGCCTCCCAGATTTCGTTATGGAAGGGTCCCGCGTCGGTTGCAGAACGGTCCCTTGTCGGTGCGGAATGGTTACACTTTGGCTACGAAAGGATCCCATGCCAGTTGCAGAACCAACTTATCGTTACGGATATGCTACACTTGGGACTGAGCGCTGACACTTTGGTTGCAAGAAGGGTTGCACTTTCGTTGCGTAACACCTGTACACTTTTGCCATAAGAATACGAGAATGGCCCCCACTGGCTTCGCATTTCTTAGGGCGGCGTTGCGCTCACAGGATCAGGCTAATGCAACGGCGAGTGGTTTGCAAGCTGCAATGGCAGCACTTTGAATGGTGAGTTAGCGGCTGCCACACAATTCAAGCCTTGCGAAGCCGGCGGCCGTGCCAATGAGCTCGTCGGTTCCGGGACCGTGCTGCCGCACAGGTGTTTTTTGCGTTCTTGGCTTTGTCCCGAATATCTTCCAACTGCATTCAGCATGCGTTGTGTGCTTCTCTCTACATATTGTACGCGTTTTGCCAAGTGTTCAAAACGCCTAAAATTGGCATGCAAAACCTGCCCTTCGACTACATGTTGTATGCGCTTTGTCTGCCTTCCAACATAGAACAGGTGCATCCTACACATGCCGCATGCATGTTGCCTGCCTTTGGTATGCGTTTTCTATGCAGTGTTTTGGGTGCGTGTCCCTTCCAAATCCCATACGCTACGAGTGCGACATGCGCACGCAAGGCGCGCAGCAAGACGCAGCTTTGTGTGCGTTTTGCCTGTCCTGTATGTCTGCGTTTCTGCGCGTGTTGTATGCATGTGCTATGCATTTTGTTTGCGTTCTGGGCATACAACATGCAGGCAATCGGCGTCCAACATGCGTGCACGCTTTTGTCTGTACCTGTTTGTATGCGTTTCGTGTCGATGGCTGCATGCATTTTTGCTGTGGCGCCGCTACACCTTCAGACTGCGTATTGTCTGTGCTTTGTGTGTCCAAATGGCCACTTGCATTTTCGTGGGACGCGTGCGTTACGCGCATGGTGCATCCCGTTTGTTTGCATTTTGTGTGGGTATTTTAGTTGGACGCTTTCCACATGCGTACAACATGTGCACGTTACGCGTGCAAAAGGCGTCCAAAATGTATGCTGCATTCTTGTGCGCCTTTTGTGTTTTGAAACCTGTTTACTTTGTATGAGGTGGAGCGCATTCCTGCGCGACAGGTGCATGTCATGCATGGTGCACGGATCTGTTTATGCCTTTTGTGCACCTCGCAGTTTCTACGCATAGTGGGCGCATGGTTGGGTTTGGCATGGGTTTCTGCCAAGCACGCGCAACGCGCATACAAAATGCATGAAAAGGCATGCGACGCGCGCGGCGTGTTTGCGTGCATTTTGTTTGCATTTTTGCCCTAGCTCAGCATGAGTTTTTGTGTGTGCATGATTGGCTCTGGCGTTGCTACTTTCCAAGCTGCAAACTGGAAGCTTGAGAGAATGCATACTGTTGCGTAGCACTGCGCAAGCTTGTGAGCGGGTGCATTGAAGCATGGTGCGTGTATTGCGTGTGCCTTTTGCGTGTGCGGTTTGTTTGCGTTACTGTGTGCACTTTTGCGTAGGCCTAGTTTCCCCTGCCTTATTTTGCTTTTTGTTGCTTCCCCTTGTTTCCCCTTGCTTTGCCTTGCTTTCCCTTGGTTTCCCTTGCTTTGCCTTGCTTCCCGTTGCTTTCCTTGCTTTCCCTTGCTTTCCCTTCGCACCCATGGTGCCACAGATCAAGGCAGTTGCTTTCCGTTGTTGCCCTGCTGGCTTGCATCTTGCGCGTGCTTTCCGCGTACTTTCAGTGATTCAGCTTGGCGCTTTCGAGACTTCTCAAGTGTTGTTTAAGCACATTGGCTGGCCACCCCGTCGCCCGCCAAAGGATATGGCGCTCTAATGCGTAGGCAACACTTGAGAAGGCTCGAAAGTGCAATCGCTGAAAGCACGCGCAAGCTGCAAGCCAGCAAGGCAGCAGCGGAAAGCGACTGCGTTGATCTGTGGCAGCATGGGCGCGAAGGGAAAGCGAAGGGAAAGCAAGGGAATGCAAGGGAATGTAAGGCAAAGCAAAGGAAAGCTCGGGAAAGCGAGGCAAAGCAAGGGGAAGCAAGGGAACGCAAAAAAGCCAACAAAGCAGGGGACGCTAGGCCAACCCAAAAATGCATGCAGTAACGCGAACACTCCACACACACGCAAAAGGCGCACAACACATGCGCAAGGTATAAAGTTGCACCCGTCTCACACGCTTGTGCAGTGTTGTGCAACATTAAGCCCCTTCACGCTTGCCCTTTTGCAGGTTGGAAGGTTGAAGCGCCAGAGCCAAAGATGCAAACAAAATGCACGCGCACATGCAGCATGCATCTTGATGCCTTTTGCATTTACGCATTCGTATGTGTTGGAACAATGAGCCCACCATGCCACAAGCTGTACAAACCCGCGCACCATGCGTGACACGTGCCTGTCTTGCAGAATGCGCTCCACCTCGTACAAAATCAACACGAAATTAAGTTTGAAAGTACAAAACACAAGAATGCAGCGCGCGTTTTGTTTGCCTTTTGCACGCATTTCGTACTCATCTGGCACGGGCAGAGCCGCGGGCTGGAAGTTTCAAAGCGCTCTCTCTCTCTCTCTCTGGTTAAATTCTGACTGCCGTTTACTACAAGTGCAAGTGTTGT